TGAACAACGCACAAAGTGAGGAGTTAACGAAGGAAACAAGAAAAAGAAAACCTCAGGCGAAAGGCTGTCTGCGGGACACCTCGCAGCTGCCTCCCGCAAGCTGGGGAGCGCAGCGCTGCAACGCCAGGAGCCGTTCTCGCAGTCCCGGACCCAGCCCGGGGCTAAGCCCCTACTCCTCCGGCTCTCGGGTCAGAGCCCCCCGGGGTGATGCTGCGGCAAGGCCCCACGCCTTCCCTGCCCACACTGCCGACAGACCGACCGACACTGGTGGGGGGACAACGGGAAGCCACGGAGCTGCTCCTTGGTAAAGCCTTTCGACAATAAGGAAGGAGTAGCAGCCCTCTAAAGGCAACCACCGTGAGCCGTCCGTAGTGGAGACGCTGGGTGCTGAACGTGCTCTCCCTGCGCGAGGCTGCTGCGGCAGTGGGGAAAAAAAAAAACACAAAAAGGTTGCCGATCGTTTGAAGGTGTTGGGGAGCAACTGCAGTGCCTGAAAGCCATAGGGCCAGGTTGTCGGCATTGCTGGGAGAGAATTACGCAGAGAGTTGCCTTTCATGGAAGAGCTCTGCTCTATTGCCCCCGCAGCATCCCGCAGCCGCAAACCGTGCCCCTTCTGCTCGGCACAACACTTGGCAGAGCTACGGCACGGACTGTTTCTGCCCAAGGTACCTTGCCTGCTCTTGCTTCCCACTGCCGCGTGGCTTGCTGCATACTTCCTCGGGAAGTTTATGAATATAGCTTTAACTGACAATGTCACGCCAATACATTTTAATTACTGTTTCAACAATATAATTAAACATTGAATTTATGCACCGTTGCAAGCAGCGTGCCTTGCTTAGCTGAAGTAATGAACTCTGATAATAATGAACCCACTAATTGAAACAGTATGTAGCTTAGGATGCCATTAGCTGTGCAATATTACCATTACTTGTACTAAAAATCGTAACAAAACAGGCAGTTTTCAGGCTCAAGATGCAACAGTTCTGCACACACCAGTTAGAAGAAAAGCAATCCCCAAGCTGTATGTTTCAGCTTTGTGCTAGAATAATGGAAGCGACTGTTGTGTAGTAAAGAAAGTGTTCCCCACTCAGTTTGTGCACACGTGGGGAAACACGTCCTCAGCAAGAGCCCCAGTACGGGGACCTGTAGGATGCCTGGGCTGCCAACCGCCGCAGACGGGATGCGGCCCCACGCCAAGCCTTCACCCGCAGGGTCCCGGCGAGCTAACACAGGACGGTACAAAGACGTACAAAGAACTCTGCCTGACCTGACCAGGAAGCCCAGGGCTGGGATCTCGCATGGTTTCAGACAACCACCACCTTCAGTAGGTTGGACACAAATGTCTCCATCACCGAAAGAGCAAAACAGCCATTGCTAGAAAGTGGCAATGAAATTCTGGCAGCAAAACTCTTTCTGCCAGACTGGAAAGATTTTTATAGCTCTGGGTATATATTTTAATGTGGTACTAGGGTATATATTTCTTTTTCCCCTTGAAACAAAAGCTGATCTTCTTCTTGTATTTCTACTGCTGTCCTGAGCCCCAAGAAGAGGCTGGCTTACACTTCAGCTCTAGTTCACTGCTCAGGTCTTCTGTTTTCCTGGTCATTTTCCCCTGGTTTCTGATCAAGTTTCTGATCAAGATGAGATGCTCAAGGTCACCTAAGCACCTCTTCGTGTCGGCTCTGCGTGACGTTATTCACCACTGGTGGTTACCTCAGCTACCCAACTCCACCGTCATTGACACCAACGGCACAGCTGACGCGGCAGTGGCAGCAAAGGGAAATTTTGGCAGAAAACGCCTTGTTCATTCACTGCCGGTGTTCTTAGAAAAGAGCTTTGTCAGTCTGTAACTCTTCGCAGTGATAAAAACTTCAGTGTTTGAGTTTAAAAATTAATATAACAATGACAGGGCTACATAAGGCTCAAAGACAAATGAGAAATGATTCAGCCGCTGAAAAGTCTGAAGAAATAACGGGAAGATTATCCCAGTCTATGAAAAATATTCCCAAGTATTTGTCTTCCATGAACTGAAGTCAAAACACTCTTAACTGTTTAATTTACTGCGGCAGTGTTAAAAAGTGGAGGCTTCCTGACATTCTCAAAACCAATCTAACCACTATTTGCTGAAACACTCCGCAAATCCTACAGAAATCTTGATGCATTTGGAGACGTCAACAGGTCTAGGCGTGGACTGTAAGAATGGCTCAGCTTCTTGGAGTAAATTAAAATTTATAAAGTCTAAAGTAAATTAAGATGACATGTGAACATAATTTCGTGTACTTCTTCAGCCTGTGTAGTTGCGATCTGATTAGGCGCTGCTTTTAGGCATCAGTTCAAAAAAAAAGCATTGGTGTCAGAAAAAAAGTAAACATTTAGAAAATTTTGTTAACTGTTGGGCTGAACTCGTATGTTCTTTTCCTAAAACAGGTGGGTTATGAGAATGACATGCAAACGTGATAAATTTAAGTTGTTACAAGTCGGGTTTTGTGCTGTGTGTTACGACTGTGTGGGGGTCTATACCTGTAACGACAGGTAAGCCTTTGAGCTAACTCTAGCCACATCTGACAAACAGATGGAGCCCTCCGAGGTTATTATGCTCCCGCAAGCGTTGTGAAACATGGCAGCGGTAGCCCCACCAGGAGAGAAGCTGCAGGATAAGCTCATATTGATTAACATATCAGTTAATCCGCACGGGAAAGATCGCCTACAAATCCTTCAGCTGCAGGGAAAGCAAACAAACAGGAAAACAAACTTCAGCTGGCAATCACAGTCCACCACGAGACACAAATCTGCAGGGAAAGCAGGCTTCATTAGTTACATTGCTCCAGGAACCACTGTTTTTTAGAAAGATTTCGGAAACAAAACATAACACAGTTACGCAAGGCGAACCTAGGGATTTACCCAAAGGCTGCACTGTGATTTGGAGCAATATTTAAGAGCCAAGAAAGAAAAGCGAGCAGGTTTCCCAGCCGATGACTTGTGAGCACCGTGCGTTTCCCTCCGGTTTGCTCCCGGCCGCGCATCTGCGTGTAGTCAGCTCTGGAGCAGGCAGAGGACCCTGACGCCTATTTATTCTTGCAGACTTGGTGCCGTCATTTTAAAAAAATAGAAGCACCGAGGAAAACTTGGGCTTTGTTTTCCCTCCTGCCTGTTCTGAGGTGGAGAGGATTGTGGGATGTTTTTAGTCTTGGCACACAACTGCAGGAAAGTCAATCTGTCACAGGCGAGCAGATTTAATATTAGTCATGAATGAGATCATGACTTGCGTACAGTAAGAGTTATTATTTATGGTACAGTGAGCAACGGCAAGAGCTTGTGGGAAGCCATGACTAATTGCATACAGTCCCATAGCTGCCAGGGATGGATAAACCATTTCTTTTACCTGGGACCAACACTAATAAGTTAACCCATGACCTCTCCTCCTCTCCCTCCCTCTTCCTTCTTCACGTTCTCAGCAATTTAAAGGAAAAAGCAAATCCCACGAACGTCTGTACTTGGGTACCAGGACAGACACGTGCCAAGAAGCAAAGCATTCGCACAGGTTGTCCACCTGGAACAAGGGTTGTTCAGCGGACCACGGAGGAACGTCTGTCCGAGGGCGGTCGCTCCCAGCAGGACTGCTCCTGCGAGTAAAGGTTTTGCAGGGCTGTGTCTTTCGATTAAAAGAAAACAGTCAATTGGAGGAAAAGCAGCAAGAGCTTAATTTGATGCTGCTCACGCAGAAGTGGAAGTCGGGCGCCATGTGCGATATTATCAGAATTAATGATTCAGATTACAATTATTTTATGACCTGTGAAGGAGATATATATACATACAATATTGCTGACTTCCTAAAGTTGAATGCCATCATTTGCAACAAAAACTGCAGCATTCCTGTTACTTTTGCTGTGATGTGAATGTGTGGACTTCCAATGATACCTCACTTCGGTTCTTATATTTCATAGTACAAATGTTTTCTTGGGCTGTTTTCCGTATACTTTATTAATGGGGAATATGTTGTTGAATATGCAAAACAACACATAACAGAAGCGGGGAAAGGCTTAATTAGGGATCCTGATTAAAAAGAACCAAAACATGAATCTCTGTGAAGCACTAATAAAAATATTTATGTTTTAAATTATAAAAAGGAAAAAATGAAGGATAGGATGAGATCAAATAAACAGAGTTGGAAATGAAATTCCAAGGCCACTATCGGAAGAAAAGGCCAATAACTACGCCAGCGCAGAGTCTGGGTTTATTCAGGAGTATAGACAAGAGTATGCCTCAAATGACTCATTTCCTCTGACAAGTTTCTAGGTTCATTTTCTTTTACCCTTGGTTTGCTCTTGTGCAAAGCCCTACAGAAGTGGCTCCCAGACTATGGTCCAAGGTCCCCGAGGCCACGATAAGTAGCTTGTAGCCAGTTTGTGAAACTACATCAGCTGGCGAGAGCTTTTCAGGTAAAAAGTTCAATGATCAGGGTACAGAGCGCGCCGCCGGCCCTCTGGCAATGCGATGGTGGTCCACTGGTACGGAAACTTTGTGGCACACCTGCCTTTGAGAACTCTATGGGCTTTGGCTTCGTTTGGAAAAGCGGTGTGAATGTGCCTATTTCCATCTGGTTTTGAACAGGGACAGGTGCAGGCCAGGACCGCGCTGGGAGAGAGCCTGGGGTACACTTCACTGTCACCAGATTGTCCCCTCAGGTCCCCAGTCACGTTGTCTTGTATTTTCAAGGGCAAATTAGCTGAGCTAATTAACATCCTTCAGCAAAAATATGTTCACATCCCCTTTCTTACCTTTTAACCGAATGCACTGTTAGTGGGAAAGAGAGATGCTTACAGGCAAGTAATATAAACTGCTTTTCCAGACGTAGTCTGCCGAGCTGTTGTGTACTGACAAAGAAAGACTGACACATTTCGTCGGGTATTTCTATTTCTCTCCGTTCAGCCCTTAAGGAAAGTAAAATCTCATCACATTGCAATACATAAAAGTGATAGCAGCGTTGATGTGAAAATACCAAGATAACTTTCTAGGACGTCATGTTTTAGGACTGGATAAAACCCTTAGGACAGTATTATACTGTATCTACTTCGCAAAGCCCAGCAACACCTATGGGAGGAGAGGCAGTTAATGCGGGTGCATCTAAAACTACGGTCTTCAACTTACCTTGCAATGACAAAGAGGACACAACTGACTCCAAGGCAGGCTAGGAGAACATACATCCAAATATCAGGAGAAAGAGGGTTTAAAAAGGAGAAAACACCAGGGTTTGTCCCATTGGGTTTCCGGTACAAGATACTGATTCCCAGCGTCATGAAGGGCTTGGAAAAATCAATTACTTTCTCTCTTACATAGGTAATGGTGAGAGGAGCAACAGCCAGATCAGCTTTCTGAAAAGAGAAATGGGAAAACGCTCCTTCTTTTTCTTGTTCAGCAAACGCATTACTATTCCGCCCCCCCCCCCCCCCAAGTATGAAGAACTAAACCAAATTTGACTATAAATCTGAAGCGTGTGACAAAATTCAGCATTGCTAGGGTATTAACGGGTACATGACGCTCTGTCTCCTCTTTCTGCAGGCAGAGGGACATGTGTGACGTTCAGGCGAGTAGGAGAGGTATGAGCAGGGACTGGGGGCTCGGTCCTGTGCAACGGGGCAGATGGCGAGCGAGGGCTGCCGGAGCGGCCGGGCAGGGACTACGTCCCCAGATCACAGGGCAGAGGTGAGCTGGAAGCTCGGCCTTCGCCGTTGGCCTTTGTAGCCAAGGGACGGGCAGGATCAGTGCTGGCTCAGTGCCCGCCGCCGCACCGCAGATGGGGGATCCCCCCGACACCCGCAAACTCTCGGTTCGGATGTACGGATGTGACTTCCCACTCTGACAAGTGGCAATAAAGACAGACCAGTGGCTCAGAAAAAAAATGAGAACTAAAGCAAACATTTCATTTGGGCTGGCTTCATATAAAACACCACAGGCGAAAGAAAGGAGAATAAAGAGAGAAGGATTCAATCTTACGTGATCTATGAGTTCTTTGACCATCCCATTCCACTCTCCTTTGTCATTCTGGGCTCCATATTTACCATCAGAGACTAGTTTGACCTCATAGATGAAGCCTAAAATATTTGACAGCTCCTTTAGTAAGTCCAGGCAATAACCCTCGAATCTGTCATTTCCATACAAGGGCTTGTCAGACTTCTTGTACATAACATAGGGGTCTTCCTGTAGAAAAAGACATAGACGGGTAGTAATAGAAATGAGGTTTGGTTTGGATTATATCAGTTTCTCTAAATTATGTTAATATTTTGTAAACGGATTGCAATTAGGTGGAAACCAGTAATTTACCGCGTCCATTAAAAGCTGTTTTAGGTATGCTAACAAATTGACTAAATCAGTTAGTGAGAAGCATCAGGGCCCCAATTTTCAGTGGAACGGACCATTCATAGCTCCCTGGAGCTTTAATTAAAGTACTGCTTACCAGCTCCAAAATCAGACCCAAGGTCTGTACTCTACGTTGTCCTACCCTAAGGGACAGGAAGGGATACTGAAGGAGACAGAAGCCTAAATAACAGAAAAAGAATCATAAGCGGAACCTAAAATTTTATATTCTGTGAGAGATAAACCTTTATTGAAAAAAAAATCTTCAAATGCACAAAATAGCTGTGAGTTTAGCAGGTATTCACCCGAGAGAATGGAGAACAGCATAGGTAGATTGCAAAGTGCCTTGTTGCTATTCTTTTTAAAAGATTTTGGATAGAAGAAGATCTAGGCAAGCATGTTTCTGCAGTTTAATGTGGCAAAAGACCTCTGGCAATAGAAAAGGAGTGCAGAGGGAGCCTTAATCTTTCCCTCCTCCCGAGGAATTAGGCAGGATAATTGGAAAAAGTGGCATTACTGGCCAGGCAGAAAGCAGGAGGCAGAACAGCTTGTGAATACCCAGTTGCATATTTTCCATTTATCACAGCGAGGACATAACTCAATCTGTCTATCCACCGTTCGCTACCTTCCTTCAGTCCTCTTCACCTCATTTTCAGTAAAAAGGAAGGATGTATAAGCACTGACTACAAAGCTGAGTATTTGTGTGTGCTAATTCTCCTGGGAAGAAAAGTATGCAGGGTTCGCCTCTGAAATACTGAAGTAAGCTAAACAGTTTTGGAGGCAGGGGTTCCCAAGAGTCTTTCATTGGCAGTGGGGTATTTCTGAATCAATCTTGTGGACACATGAAAGCGTGTGTTGATTCTGATCCAAGTCAAAAACTTTGCTTGAAAACAGGTTCGTTTAACAAAACATTGTTCAGTGAGGAGGGAAACAGCCACGGAGCGCAGGGTGGAGGTGGCGAAGGCAGCTGCGAAGAGCCCCGCAACCCACCACCGGCAATTCCCGCATCCTACCGCGCGGCTGACCGCGCCACCTCCGCCTCGCGGGACTTACCAAAATGGTGGTGACGATAAGCGTCCGGTTAGCCAAGGAATCCGTGATGTTGGTCGATCGGTCCTTGTTGCTGTCGGTCATGTTAAGGCCACTGTACGAGTTCCAAACCCCAATCTGCACAGAAGAGAGCGGGTGAGCGGCTGCCCGGCCGCAGCGAGCCGAAACATTTCCCGAAAGGCTCACCGCCTGGGAAGAGTGCACTGGCTCGAGTCACCACGGAAAGAGACACCGGCAGGAGGAGATGCTAGAGAAGGGGAACGGCTGTAGGGCTGAGTCAGGCAGCAACATCAAATGGCTGATTTAGAAAACACAGGGAACAGACTGCCCTTTCAAAAGCGGGTGGAAATGAATAAGCTGTAAGAGTATAAGGCATGTCAATACAGTGGTGTATTAGCCAATCTGCTACAAATGTGGAACATGTTGACTTCGTTTCCCGCTAAAAAATGTCAAATGTCTATTTTTATGATTTTTTTTTTTTTTAATTTTGTAAATGATAGAGTTGAAACATACGGCAAGACCTCTCTCTTCCAATACAACAGATTGAAAGCTTGAATAAACATGTTGAAGCAGATTGATGGATGCACCGGCCTTTTGCTTCCGCTATGCCTTCAGCAGGTTTAGTAAAGATTATTCTGTCATTTCTTGACTACTACATATGACAGAGCTAGGAAGGTGATACCGTTTCACGCTCTGATCAGTATTTGTTCAGTAAATACAAGTGGCCAAAGACAAATTCCTTTCTAGCCCCAGAGACAGTGAAGAATTCCGGTATTTAATGCCGAATCCAAAGCCTCAAGCAAAAGATCTTCATGATTTCAGTGGATTTGGATCTACACCTTGTGAGGGCAGAAATTAGAACTATGTTGATTAATTCAGATAAATATTTGCTTAACATAAATGCAGTCTGAAAGCATCTTCAGGTTTTTCTGCCTTTGGATTTACATACACAGCACGGCTGGGGGCTGATGTGAGAAAAGTCCAAGCAAGGAGCTGGCTCAGGCAGTTTGGCTTGTATTGGACGTTTGTGGCGAGCACCAGAGGGATGGCTTGGGGATGGACATCGGCCGTCCACAGAGCCCTTTGTATCGCCGTCCTGCTCTGCCAGCATGTTTCAGCTCTACCCGGGAGCGATCTGCTTTCAGATCCTCCCTGCTGGCATTGCCAGCAAAGCTCCCAAGAAAGTCGAAGACAAAACCCACTCACTTGTCCCCTGCACTGAAGGTCCCTCTCTGCCGTCAGATGCTCGGTCATTTCAGAGCCGGGCTGGACTCTTTCTCTTTGGTTGTTAACTGAGGCAGAGATGGCGTTGCCTTTGTACCAAACCCAGCAGATTAGTTTGTGCCTGCTGAGTGTGGGTTTGGGGTATACAACTGTATCATTTCAAACAAACTTTGGGTTTGTGTCCATGGGTGCCATTGCTTTTGCCTTTCACAATTTTTTTTTTCCAAAATATGCTTAATGGGGATAGTCATGCCATTTTTAAAAATCATTTTTCCAAGCATTTATCAGTCATTCTCTTCATTTCCAAAACTAGATCAGGTTGGAAAACTGATCTGGAAAGTACACAGGAAATAAAATGTTGGGTATTACGACAGCCTGTGCCGGGAATATAGTAAATAACCAGTGCCCTTGAATTTGCACCAGGGTGGCTGAGTTAATCAAAAGCCGTTCTGCTCGTTGTTACTGACTTGATATGCTTTTATCGGCTGGCAGCAGGGAAGAGGAGAACGACCATGAAGAACATGGAGCAACACAGTCACAGTGCATACAAAATACACCAGGAGACCACTCTACGTCTGGATAAAAGAATGACACCGCAGGTCAACCCTGATTAGAGCGATGGAGGAGGTCGGAAGGGCGCTGGAAGAATGAGGTCAAGGTAGTACATCACTATGGTGAATCCGGCGGATTTATTGCAGTTTAGTGACAAGTTTGAGAGGTATCATATGCCCTTCTCAGCAAGCCTGTGCTCTGAACCAATTGTAATTTGGTTTAAATCAATTCAGCGTAACACAGAATGCCTGGAGTCAAAAGCGAGACTGGTTCAATAGCGTTCTGCATGTCAGGTAGGATGATCTATTCACCAGTAATGAGAGAAATGGGGGCCTTTGTGCCTTAGCCTGATTCACTGAAGATTAAAACAAGGTTATTAAGTATGTGCTTTATAAGAACATGAAGAGAGTGCTATAGGATGCTTTACACTCGTCTACTCTGTAGCATTAAAATCCCTCCCAAAACAACACAAAACCAAAGCCTTTTTAAACTGTGTATGTGGGAGGGGTGGGAAATGTTAATATCTATGTGAAATATGTACAAAATATAATCCTAAGCGTTACAAGAAATCTGTATCTTGTGACTCCAGGACTCTTTAAACGTGGTGGATGCTGTTGTTATCTTCTCCTTACGGAATGGGAACCGTGGGTTGTACCTCCCGTGGGGAGCAGCGCGTGGAGCCCTTCTCCGACTCCCACTTTTCCACCAGGCAGAGGCACCTCACATGAAAAGAGGGATGAGATTCCTGGGGTAATTTAGATCTTTTATAAACAAGTTTAGTTCCAATTTCTGTATGTTAGTGAATGACATCACCCACTTAACCATCTATGTTATTTTCCGTAAGGAGCTAATAACACACTTGTCAAAATTCTGAGTCAACAATGCCTGCAGAGTATGCATTTTGTGGGAGGCAAAAAACCCCCAACCCTGCATCTTAAAACAGTCCCTGCTGCTGATGCTAAACCACATTTGAAATGGTGTAAATTTACCACTCATGGTGAATCTTAGGTGAATCAGGAAGGATAACAGCTGAGAAAAGGACGGCTTTTGCTACAGCCCAGAGTCTCTACTCAAAGAGGGGAAAACCACAGCTCTCAAGAAATAAAATAATAATTAAAAAAAATATTTTGGTGAAAGAGCTGAATACTGCCAAGATCTTTTTACTATTTGGAATTACAGTGTCTCAAGTTGCGATGAACATTATTCTACCAGAAAAATTCATACTCTCAGATAGGCTGTCGTCTCTAAACTGCAATATGAGAGTCACTACCAAAACCCAAAGGATGAGTCTGAAGACCCAGCCCAAAGGTTTTTGGCATCACCTGTCTGTGTACAAACCTTCTTCCACACTTTATATAAATGATTAGAAACCTCGCCAGCAGCCTTGGTACAGAGAAAAAATAAACAGAGTACTTCATTAAAAATGAAAAGAGAACCAGTCTGGAGAGCTGTGTGGGAGCAATTACACTTAAAGTCTCAATTAACCCATCAGCAGTTCTCACTCAGGGCCAAGCCAGCGTACGCAGAGCAAGGGACAACGCCGTCTCCAGCCGACACGAGCTGGGGGTGTTGCCTCTCTCAGGGGTTTCTGGACACCCCCAGCAGCCACCTCCTCGGCAGCGGTGGAGGGAGCCCATGTTTGCTGACTGAGGGTCGGGGCAAGGGAAAAAGAACTCACCTAATCTCAAAACCATGAATTTTTAACGTCTCAACTCTAGTTGAGGTTATTACTCAAGCACCTTCTTTCCTCGCTCCCTCATGTCACGTTTATTAAAAGCAGTACATGTAAGAAAAGTGCAGGCTTTATCCCGATATATGAATTTACCACATCAAGTTACAGTGGCAAGAACTGAAGATAATGTGCACTTAAAATCATTGTTTCTGTTCAGATAATTATTGCCAGTCCCAAATTCCTATCCCATACCTCAAAATGCAAGGCATACGTTGTAAAATAGTAAAACAATCTTAGTAGCTCTGTTTTGAGTTAAATAATCTCGAGAATAGCATTTTTTACCCCAAGCACAGGAGATTCAAGCTGAGGAGAATGGACTTTCCTACGCCCCTGCCAAATTAGCTTTTTGTCATTGTTTTACAAAAGACCTGCTTACCTTTTCTGTTCCTTCCTCCTTGAGGCTAATAACGTCCAAATCAAAATCCTTCCGTAAGCCGTCCGTTTTGTTGAAGGTTATGCGCCCTGTCAGGCCATCCCACCGTGCCTGTGGGAACACAAAAACGCCCTTCCCTGTAACAATTAGTAGGAACTACCCTGAAGCCATAACAAATACTGCATTTTAAGTTAACTGTAGCACTGAATCACTTCCAAATAGTTTTTTAAACATATGTGGCTTGCTTACTTCGATAAAAACCCACTTTCTTCAATTTTTTTGTTATTTAGTTTCTCTCTTCAGTGTGTTTTGTGTTTCAGAATCAGGCACAAGTCTGTGACATTTTATATGTATTGATTTACTTATGTCTAGTGCTGTGTTAAAAAAGATATACCAAAGAGAAAGAAAGAGAGAATAAGTATTACACGTGCCCAGAGACAAGGCAGTTTTGCACTGCGCGAGAATTCACTAAGAAATTAAAAAAGGAGTCTGCCGCAGCCCAGGCTTTGGGTCTGAACCTTGGCGTACAACAGCCTAAATCCCGGATTTAGCAGTGCGACAGCCTAAATCCTCGCCGGAGCGATCCTCGTTACCCCAGCGCAGGGCCTTTCGGCTCCCCGTGACGAACGGGTAACGAAGGGCGACGGGTGCCGAGGGGGAGGCCCCGGGAGGCCGCGGACGACGGAGGGCAGCGGCCCGTCCCCCATCACCAAAGCTGTCCCCACACTGGGGTTGTGCATCTCCTGGGCTGGCGCGAGAGACGCTGCCTCTGCTCCTCCGGGCCCAGACATCCAGATTTTTCCAGGAAGAGACAAATGAAAGAAGGGCTTTATGTCGTTCTTCCTCGATTTCTTGGACAGGTTGTGGTGAAATGTCCGCCACCAGCGTCAGGCTCCTCGGGTCTGGGACTTTGCTGAATTGTTTCACTGATCCCTACTCAATTTGCATCCCCAAGGCAGAAGACACAAGTTCCCAATTAAGCAAACGAGGTGCATCATTCCTAATGAGAGCACTGCCGGTGCTCACAGGTGCTGATGGCATGAGGATGATGGCTCTAAAAGCAGCCTTTCAGGAAAAACTCACCTGGTCACAGGGACCTAACGAAAACTTTGTCATGTAAGGCACACGCAAGTCTTACATACGTGTCCGCAGTACAGCATACGGGTTGCGTATGATCGGGTTTGGGCCAGGCAGCATTTTACTGTTCTATCATAATTAAGCGAAACCACATTTTCCCTGTTTTAAACACTAGCATCAGGAGTAAGTGAAAGTGGTGGGCTTGGTACATCCATCTGCATAGCCGTGATGATTCCCTGTGCCGGGGAACACTTCGGAGCCGCGAGATCAGTGTCCAGAACGAACTCTCTCCACAATTTAAGTTTTCTGCATCTTGTAAGCTTCCCAGCAAGCCCACCTTCTTTTAAATGAGATCTATCTGTCTCTCATATAGCCCCCATTTTGTCCCCAAAGCTGAAGCTTATCTATAAAAGAAAGTATTTGATGGATTTCAAACTGCAGACAATTTTTATAATCTGTTTTTGGGAGCTCCCACATTAGATTAAATTCTTCAAAGATACAAGAAAGGCTGATGATAAATGACGGCATGGTTTCTTCATGTGTGTCAGCCATATAATTCTTAAATTACCTACAAGCTTTTCTACTGCGCATTGTTATTTGCTTCATTTAATTTGTTGTAGACGGATGACATAAGGAAAGCTGCATTACAAATCAGCAGACTCACAGAAGGGTGTCTTCCCTTCCCGTTAAATCTAAATTCTAGCTCTGAATCTGCAGGATTTAGTCTCAGATGCTGGGGGGTTATCTCCATGTGTCTCAGACAAACCTGGTGCATCTAGAATTTTGTGGAAATATAGCAGGATTTTGAAGCACGCTTAAGTAAAATAAGAATGGACAAGTGCAAATGCAACAAACTTGCCATGAGACTTCCCATCTCAATGGCACACGAAAGTCGCAGCTGTAAACAGTGAAACGCCTGTGGTTTTGTATGCAGATATAATTAAGATAGCGGGAGGGGACACATATGAATGCATTTCATAATATAATATCTCTTTTCCAGTTTGCCTTTTTATTACTCTGACATGACCCCCATCTCTTATTCATAAAGATGGAATATTTTTTAAAATACGATCTTTAGAGATCAATTCCTCCTCGGAGGGCAATTTGCTTCTGTGAACTGCTCACATTTATTGATTACATATCAGATGCTCAGCTTCTCCGCTAACGTGATATGATCTCGAATAAAGGAACCAACGTGTTATTTTTGGAAATGGTATCAGGAGCATATATCTCCATTCTTGTAAAAAAGATTTATGTGGTGACATGTGAGCTCACTTTTGAAAATAGGCATTAGTGCTTCTACCCCCACACTGAAGAAAATGGAAGGAAAAGATGTTACGAGCTATACAGGTCTATGCTTAAGTTTCAAGGCAGGAGAGAAGTGCATAGAGCCTTTGTCTAACCCAAGTCCCACTTGGACCATCAAATAATGACCCAAATGTGACTTCAGTTATAAACAGGAGTCAGGGAGTGTTTCTCAGAAGAGTTAAATGTCAAAGGGGTTTTTCAGACCCTAATTGTAAGGCACACGCTTCAAATGCCATTTGAATTCTAAATTTAATTTCTGATTTTTATTTTATTTATTTTATTTATTATAAACAAAAATAAAACATTTGGGTTGAAGTCCAGTGAGCACAACTGTATTTCTGACTTCAAGACAGCTGTGGTGGCGGTGCGTGCAGCACACCGAGACAGACAGGCGATGTTTCCTTCCTGATCAGAAACAAAAATTTTCCCTAAGAGACAAAGGGAGGGATGAGCTGGGAACCTATGGTCTACCCCAGGCCTTCCGAAGTCAAATTGGCAAAACTTCCAGGCTTTTGATACGATTTGAGTCCTAAAGCACAACGGCCTGTGGTGTGCAAGGACAGTGAAATGTACCACCGCTCCGAAATACCGCCGCTGCTCGGTGCCCGTCGGGTAACTCAAGGGCGCGAGCGCCGATGAGGGGCCGAGATCCGGCAAACAGAAGGGGCAGCAGCCGCCCAGCTCCCCAATGCCATTAATGAACGGGAATGCAGCAGAACTTCCCAAACAGTCAGAAACCGCACGACTGTTTAACCCAGCAATGAGAGTTCGTGCTTTTATACGCAAGATTTGTAGCAATTTTAATGTTTCTAGTGACGTTCCTGTTAAATGTTAAAGGATATAAAAAAAGTTGAATCTGAACCTAATCATGTAATTCATCAAAAGAAATTACTTTTTGGCACTCTGTCCTTGCTTTAATATTAGAGGAACTAAGGGCACAGTTTGAAACTCTTAGGGAGAGAAGGTATTTTCGATTTTGTTTGTATAATTTTGAGTAGAGCTTGCAGCTTAATTAAAAAAATGTGATTTTCAGTGGCTTCTGCTTGTAACATCCCTTGCTTGTCTTGGAACTCGTTTACGCGGGGTTGGAGGCTGCCTCTGACGACGGCCCTGCGCGGAAACGGGGGAGTTTGCTCTGCAGCAGTAGGGCAGTGCAGTGCTCGTCTGACGTGCAAAATAAGGTCTCACATTCTTCAGTACCACGTTTTATCAGACAATCATTATTCTCGTTTCTAAGTTGTAAACATTTGATGACCTTCTCCTGTTTATTAAGCGAAATGGGCAATTAACCCAGTATGTTGGCTTCAACTGGTAGTTGAGAAGCAAACCATACAGGACCAGCAGCTACTCAGACCCTTTCTTACTCAGCATTGACAAGGTAGTAGATAGAACGGATTACAGATAGGTCTTGAGTCATCTCTGAAGGCTGTCAGGTACCTGACATGGCAAAAATATCCAAAGCAACCTAATTAAAACTCTGAAACTTTCTGGTTTTACTACTTTAAATTGTGGGTAAACCGCAAACTGAAATCTGGGGTTAAATATTCAAATTACAATACTAGCTTCCACACAAATGTATTAATGGAAAGGTTTAACAACTGGAAAATGAAGCTGACTCAGCTGTTAAGAGCAAACACTCCAGAAGCTTGCTATCAACTCACACCACCATCATACAGTCTTTATATCAATTTCCACTTCATCATCTTGAATCAATTACTATAGCAGCCTTAGTTTCAGCCAAAGCCAATCAACAGTTCAATCACAGAATAAATTAGTTCAGCTGCTACCAGACTTACGAAGGTAAAACAACAGCTACATTTCATATTCCGTTTCTTTTGTCTCCACCAGACCTCACTTACACTTCCAGATTTGTATTAGCAAGATACAGCTAGATGAAGAAAGCATAATGCACAGTGTATATAATGCGTTGACTGGGTAAAACTCAGCTCTATGCCATAGCCTCAACGGGATATAGCCAATTTTGTAGATACTGTATTCCAGTACTGCACACCAAAGTGTCAATCTTTCTCAGACAAATTGATTGCGGTTTTATTATGTATTTGGTTTTTCTTACTCAATATAAGTTTATCCAAATATTTTCTTTAACTGTTTATCTGCCTACAGTGTATTTTCTCTTTCTGAGTCCAATGTCCCAGTGACAGATACTGGGTACTTGTGTGTCACATCAGAAAACTTTAAATTTTTCAAGGTCCTTTTGAAAGTGTTCAGAGGGCCCTGGCAATGCAAAAATGCAAAAGCACAATCTTATTTTAACTTTTTAAACTATTATATTTAATAACGTTTCTTAATGTGCCGATGTTTCTGCTATTCTATTGATATTCCACTTATTCCAATAGCCTGTGAAATAAAGCAGTTTTTCTGAACCTCTTCTTTAGACATCCACTTGTAATTAATCAAGCAATCTCTTTAGAGTTTCAAACTCAAGTTTTAACCTTTTATGGTTCCCACTGTTCAAAAACTAAGACCCTCCATTTTGAAGGTATGGCCGGAGCTAATGTTAGAAGAAAACATCTGAGACCCAAATATGCACCCTCAAACGCAAATAAACCTGTGACTATATCACTTACAAAATATATGTACATATTCAATCTGCTTTAAATGGCATAAGGAGAAACTGTCATAACTCTTAACAAATTTTTAAAATATACAGACAAAGGGAGCTGATAAAACTTCTGAGTGAAAAGCCAAGAAAAGCTACTTTAGCA